TATATATATATATATATATATATATATATATATATATATATATATATATATATATATATATATATATACATATATATATATATATCGGCTTTAAAATCTCAAATAATTCGGGAGGGCATGCCCCCGCCATGTAAAGGATTGGCCCCTCCTTCCCCTCGCCCCAAAATGAAAACCCACTACGACACTGGGCCAAAGCCCAAAGAGGGCCAAAGGGGGGGCCCGGGCCCCCCCCCTTATATCCGCGCCTGTGTGCCTCATGTCTGTCTCAGTACACTGCTCACCCTGAGGATTTGCAACTTTTGTCTCGAAAGTCTGTACTTTATTCGTGGTTTTCTTTGCTCATCCCCAAGCCTCATAACGTATTTGCTGGGATTAAATCCTAGTAGCCATTTGTCAGACAGACCTGCGGCCTGTCCAGGTTCACATGTAGTGGTTTTTGGTCCTTACATTGTCGTATTCTCCTCATTAGTTTCGTATGATCAGTGAACAGGAATACCTATATTTCTTCTGTCATTTACACGTATACAAGAAATAATACCACTACCACGGTGCCCCGTGGTCTGATCGCTAAAGCTCTCTCTTCACACAGCGAAGGTCTACGTTCGATTCCCAGCGAGGGTAGAAACATTGGGCGTGTTTCTATACACCGGTTGTCGATGTTCACCCATCATTATAATGGGTACCTAGGAGTTAGTAGACTGGTGTGGGTCGCATCCTGGGACAAGGACCTAATTTGCCCGAAATGCTCTGCATAACAAGGGGCTTTCCATATACTAGTAGTACAGTATGTCATTGATGTCAGCTAGACCTGTATACCATGTACTTTTAGTAAATAAAGATATTATTATTATTATTATTATTATTATTATTATTATTATTATTATTATTATTATTATCCTCGACTCTCTGAACCCCAATCGTCAGGCGCTCATTCAACACCTCTTCTCGTATAATTACTCGTTTCCTTTCTTGGTTTGTTACAGTGCCTTCTCTGTTATTCTTGCCTGATTCTTTAGCTTTTGCCCCAGTCTCTTGTGCATTACTGTCTCAAAAATCTTCTTACAGTTCAAAAATATGCAATTTACTCATCCTTCTCCTTCCTACCTTGTCGAACTTGAGTAGATTGGTGAGAGGATTTATTATCTCTAAAACTCTGCTGGTTGTTGTTATGAACCCACTCCTCTCTAGGCACTCCACTACTTTTCTGATAATCTTTCCCATACCTTACATATACGTGTACATGTTAGTGACACCAGTTTATAGCCTAATACTATCTGACTGTCCCCTTTTTTAAGTCCCGGAATAACATTTGCGGTCTTCCAGACCTCCGGCAGTTGCCACGTCGATTAACGTGTTGAAGATTATGGCTAGTGGCTTACACAATGCTTCTGCTCCCTCTCTCGAGACCCATGGATATATTTTTTCTGGTCCCATTGCCTTTGAGGTGTCTAGCTCACACAGTACTGCAGTTGCCTCAGATGCTCTCCTGTCAATGTATTGTCTAATAATTGCTGGTGCGCACTCCACCACTATGGCTCTTTAGTAACGTCCCTATTTCTTCTGAGAATACCTCCTTAAATTTCTTAGTGAGCTCCTGATAGACTTTTTAGTCATTTCTTGTGAGCCCTCCTTCCCTCTTCTGCTTGATTATCTGGTCCTTTACTATTTACTGTTTTCCTCCAGATGTGGCTGCATAGCAGCGAAGGATTGTATTAGACTTTCAATACAATGACATCCTCAAATTGTTGTTAAGCATCTCTTCTTACCTATGGCTCATTAAGTGAGGTTTCATGATGCTTGTAAGGTACTCTTGACCCAAAGAATTGGCCCTGCTTTTCCCTTCCTTAGATCAAACCTGAATGCCTCTATCTCCCCAGGTATGTATGACCCTTGCATATTTATTTCTGGCTCTTTTGCTCGTTTCCTTGTTTTTCTGCATTTTTTATGGGGGGAGGGCCTTGTGTGTTTTGTCCATGTTCTAGCACTTTTTAGCTTTTCTCTCTCTGCACCTCTGAGTGAACTATGGGTTCACTGTTCTTTCTATAACTTCTGCTCCTGGGTATGAATTTCTCTGCCTCCTGGTACTGTCTAGCTACATACTCCATTTCATTCACTGTCTTCCCTTACAGTTTCCCATTCCACTAAGACTCATTCAGGAACTGCCTCATGTCTGTGTAGTCTCCACTTTTGAAGTCTGGCTTCTCTTGTCCTTCTTGTGCTATTTCTCTTTTCAAATTTACTCCCATAAAGTATTCAAAACTAAGGACTATCACTTGCATCAAGGGGCCTCTCATATTCAATATGCCTTATGTCAGAATTGCTCAGGTGAATACAAGGTCCACCCTTGCTGGCTCATCTTTTTCCCCTCTCTTTCTGGTTGTATTCCTGACGTGTTGGTACATGAAATTCTCTATTACCATGTCTAGAATCTTAGCTCTCCATGTTTCTGGTACATGTGGCTCCAGGTTCTCTCAGTCTCTTTCCTTGTGGTTGAAGTCTCCCATGAGCAGCAGCTGTGCATTACTCATATGAGCTCTTCTAGACACCTCTGCTACAGTGTTCACCATCACTATTTTGTTATACTCCTGTTTTGGTCTCCTGCTGTTTAGTGGAGCACTGTACATCACTGCTATTGTAGACAGCCTGTACTGTCTGCAAAGACAGCCTATGCTGTCTGCCAGCTGAGTTCATATTTTGTGCCATGCTTGTGCTGCCACCTATAGGCCTATGCCACTTCAGTATGCCCAGACCTGCCTCTACCTCACTCTCTCAACGGCCTTCACTCAGTCAACAAGGACTACTCCTCTCTCCCTCGCTGGGCATGGCCCTCCCAGGCCATGGGCACTTGACACACTGCCTGTGTACCCCACGACATTGCAAATAAAGTAAGAAGCCTCCAAATCCTTATCACTGAACCCTGCTCTGCAGGAACGACCAATAATCTGGTAAACATTGGTGACAGCAGTGGTTGCAGCGGTTGTGTTGCTCGAGGAGGGAAGGACGAGGAATGAAGTCACCTTCACTTCATCACCCCACACAAGAAGCATCCATCTCTCAATGAGTTACCCTGATGTTGTGTCTGCACGTTTCAGCTTCCAGACATAGGTAGAAGCAGGATTTGGCCGAAATTTACTGAATTTCTTTGAGAATTGTAAGTGACTCCACGCCACAGCATCCCATGCTGTTCAAGTTACATCTTCAGAGTATGCTGTTGTTGTTCAGCTCAGCATGACTATTACAGCAAGTCAGAGGTGAGTTTGTGGTGATTTCAGCTTCCAGTGTGGTTGTTTCTGGGTGTTTCTCCAAGTGGGTATGTGGGAGAGGAAGTGGCCGAGTTCCTTGCCTCACTCACACCTCACCCGCCTATCATCACACTCCACCACTATGTACTCACTCCCTCTGCTATGTTTTCTGCTGTTTTCCATGTGAATTCATTGCCAGAGCTGTGTATCCGAGTGCCCGAGGCCACTCGAAGCCACGTAGATCATGAAACCACGTGGATCACCAAGCCATGTGGCTCAGCATGCCATGTAGATCACAAAGCCACGTGGAGCAAGCCACGTGGGGTGTGGACGATGTCATGTGGATCTACAAGCCATGTGGGTTACCAAGCCAGATGTCCCAGGCCACATGCTGTGGTCTGCTGCCTCATCACTCCACTGTCATCACCTCACGACGTCACCCATGATGTTGCCCGACTTCACGTTACGATGTCTGTTTGACGTCACCTCGTGATGTCACCCCATGACATCCCTCACAATGTCACTCCAGGACGTCACTTCGAGACGTCTGCTGACATCACCTTGCGATGTCACCCCATGACATCACCTCACAACGTCATGCCTGATCGACAGTGTTAGTTTCACAGTGAGCAATATGTTGTGATGTCGAGAAGATTGAGAAGATATATGTCGTGTGTTAATTCCTTTCAGTCAGTGTTCTTACATGTTCGTGTACAGCTTAGTGTCGATTTTTTGCACAGAAAAGCATCATTTGCTAGTAAGCCATGTTGTACCGCATGTGCAGTGCGGGTGTGTGCAGTTTCTGTGTGTCCTGTGTGGTCTTGAGCCCAGACCACTGTGTAGCACCTCGTGTTACTTGTCACCCGGTGTGACCCGCACGTTTGACAGCTAATATTAGTCAGCCTGAGCATCTGAGCCTCTTATACAGAAAGCTTTTTATGTTCGCCGCTCGTGATGGCCTGCAGAATTGTACCCGATATGATTCCCATTGAGATTTGTTTCACTTCACCTCCAGACTGTCAGAGTGCAGTTATATGTAGAGAAACAAGTCTGGGGACTGTCAGAGTGCAGTTATATGTAGAGAAACAAGTCTGAGGATGCTTAGACTAACCTCTGCTGCAACTCCAACTGTCGAGAGATTGACACTCGTCAAGCCGCAGTTAAGCCCTGTTGGCAGGTGCTGTCAGCCTCGTGTCACAAGCTTCAGTAAGCTCCTGCACAAAGACGATGTCACTTTGACTGCTAGCCTGCTCACTGTAGTATGGAGTATGATGTTACGACTCCCAGATGTTTTGCCGAGTCGTCTCTGCCACAACTCACTCTACGCTCGCCGGCAGTGACAGTACCAGTCAAAAAAATGTCCTCTTGAGTTGCTTGCCAGAAGAAGTCCTGCCCAGTTGCTGAGTACTGACGATGCCTCACTCGAGGGCACCAGCAGGTTGTGCCCCAGGTTGAGTGAAACCCTGCAGCGACTCCTACAATGACTGCTTCACCGTTCCAGGAAACCGTACCCTGTTACATCACAGCTCAGCCACAGCAGTGTCTCCTGTGTTGCATTATCTGTCCAGACGCAGGAAGGCGTGCAGTGATGCCCATCAATGCTCACTGCCTTAGACCACAATGTTTAGCACACCCCACCCGTTTTTTTCTTCCTTCCCTGTAGGAAGTTTTTTTTCCATGTCCATGTATGTATATGTTTTTATTTTGTGTTCTGTGCCCTGTTCCTGCGAGAGAGAGACTGATTTTTTTTTTTTACAGTTAGTCATGGTCAGGGATGACCATGGTGGTGCATGGCCGAGCAAATGTAGACAGCCTGTACTCTCTGCATAGACAGCCTATGCTGTCTGCCAGCTGAGTTCATATTTCACGCCATGCTTGTGCTGCCACCTATAGGCCTATGCCACTTCAGTATGCCCAGACCAGCCTCTACCTTACTCACTCAGCGGCCTTCACTCAGTCAACAAGGACTACTCCTCTCTCCCTCGCTGGGCATGGCCCTCCCGGGCCATGGGCACTTAACACACTGCCTGTGTATCCCACGACATTGCAAATAAAGTAAAATGCCTCCGAAGCCTTATCATTGAACCCCGCTCTGCAGGAACGACGAATAATCGTGTAAACACTATGACCACTTTTGGTCCCCTAGCCTTGTGTGCCTAATATATAGTTATTTGCCTCCTCTGTACGTATTTAATTTTCATCTCATTTCTTCAAAACTCCACTGGTTTCTGATTAACAACACTACTCCACCTCCTCCATTTCCTCTGCTCTTCCTCATAATCTGATATCCAACTACGACGACTGCATCTGTTGTCATCTCTCTGAGCTTTGTGTCTGGGAGTGCTATGATATCTGGGTGGAAAGGGAACAACCAACCTTTTGTTACATAGATCCTGTGTGTGTGCTCGTGCTCCATGTGCTCTGCTGCGCTCCGTATTTTTTCATGATTATCATGATCTCTCTTGTGTGCTAGAACTTTAAGCTGTGCCAGTGAACTTATAAAGTACAGTGGTCCCTCGTTTATCGTCGTTAATCCGTTCCTGGAAGTGCAACGATTATCGAAATAGACGATTTTCGAATCAATTTTCCCCATAAGAAATAATGTATTAAACAAAAATTTTTTTTTACATGAAATACATGTATAGATATAGTACATAAACAATACAATGGGATATGATGAATGAAACATTAACAGCATAACACTTACCTTAATTGGCAATTCTTCTTAATGTATGGAAGACTGGAGGAGGAGAGTGATTGGATTAGTTACTGTTTGGAAGGGGAATCCCCTTCCATCAACACCTCAGGTACCAAGTCCTTTTCTGGGGTTACATACTTCTCTGTTTCTTAATGCCACTAGGACCAGCTTGAGAGTCACTGGAGTCCTGTCTCGCAAAAAAAGTGTCCAGAGAGCTCTGTTTCTGACGTCTCTTTAAAACTTCCCTAAAATGGGCCAAGACTCTGTCACTGTACAAGTTGCTGATATGGCTTGCAACATCTTTCTCAGAGTGATGTGATGGTTCTCCATAAATCTTTCCATCCTTCCCCACATTTCAAAAATCTCCTTAATTTCTGAAGAAGGCACCTTCTTCCATCTCTCTTCCTCCTCTGCAGGAAGATTCTGAGCTGCGATCTGTTGCTGTTCCTGCTGAAGCTTGCAGCTCCTCAGTGGCTAGCTCTTCGTTGTGGTCCTCCACCAACTCTTCCACATCCTCCAAACTCACATCTAACCCCATGGAACTCCCCAATGCCACAATAGATTTCACAACTGACATAGGCTCATCAGGGTCAGCCACAAACCCTTCAAAATCCCTCTTGTGGACACAATCTGGCCACAATTTTCTCCAAGCAACAACGCTTCTTGATTTCCTTTCTCTTTGCCACGATGGAAGATATGGTTGTATGGGGTTTGTTATACATCCTGGCCAGTTCGGCCACATGTACGCCACTTTCATATTGTTCAATGATGTTTTTCTTAAATTCAATTGTATTTCTCACCTTCTTTACCAAAGGCTTGGCACTAGGAGCTTTCTTTGGAGCCATAGTAGCTTATTTAGCACTTGCAAGCACTAAAATGAATAGAATATTATGAAATACAGTGGACCCCCGGTTAACGATATTTTTTCACTCCAGAAGTATGTTCAGGTGCCAGTACTGACCGAATTTGTTCCCATAAGGAATATTGTGAAGTAGATTAGTCCATTTCAGACCCCCAAACATACACGTACAAACGCACTTACATAAATACACTTACATAATTGGTCGCATTCAGAGGTGAGCGTTATGCGGGGGTCCACTGTATTTCGTATGACCAAGTGAGGGGACTGTTGCTCACTGGTAAACAATGAATGGCACACTGGCTGTGAAGGGAGGCTGAGGCGGCTCAGAGCCATGAGTACGCGTCCAGGATGAATGACGATTAGCGAGTCAACCGACCATTTGCAAGCCAATGTTTGGACGAAAATAACACGACAATTTCTGAAAAGGACGACTATCGAGGGACCACTGTACACCCCTCCAGCGCTTGGAACTAATCTAGTAAAAAATAGTATACACCGAGTCAAAAAAGGGAGAATTAGTGTGCAATACCATAGCCAAGCCATACTCCCAGAAGGGAACTATAGGCTTAACATGCCATGTGCAAACAACAAAAAATAGAACAAATTCTGTCAGAGGAAAGACAGTCGCCCTGATAATAGAGTGTCATACATAGTGTTATAGTGTATATCACATTGGTACCATAGTATATAGGTAAGATACCATAATAAATGCTAGGTGAAATTAAGGCTGAAGTGTTAGGCCTAAAGAGATAGGTTCATATTGTAAACAGTTGCCAGCAGTCGCCAGGACCCAACCACGCAAGTCAGCTCGTATTAACAATTTTCCTAAACCTGACCTATAATCTAGTGATACAACTGAGTTAAATATTCCTATTGAAATACGAAAAGGTGCAAAATCTTGAGGAAATACAAAAAGTGTACAGCTTTGTAGAAATACGATAAACAGTGTCAAGCTGTCAGTGAATGTATACAACAACATAAGATCTATCATCCAGAAACCTTTTCACAGTGCTGCCATAGCTAATAACAAGTAACAAACTGGTATTTAGTGTGGTGGAGTGACGAACATTAGAAATTTCTTCCTTTTTGAAATACGAGACATACACAGTTTGTGGAAATACATTAAACTTGTAGTTAGCAGCGGTCGCAATATACACAACAAAAAGCAAATATTCCTCCAGTAATCTTCACCAGTCAACAATAGTGATAAAAATAGCATTTGTTGTGGTGATGGTGGAAAAAATCTAGAAAAGCTAAATACAGTGATCTATAAGTGCCCAAAACTTCAGGTGGTAAGAAAGGGTGCCAGAGGTCACCTGCCATTCATCATAGTAGGAGCTGCCAGAAGTCACTGGTTTCTCCAACACGCAAGTTATAGTACTTTCTGTATCAATCTAAACATGTATTACTCTATTAAATAATATTCCAGTAGTCCCTTCACGAGCTAGTCCAAAATCACCAACAAGATTCGTAAAATAAGTGATCCACTGACCGAGTACTGAGCGAGTACAAGGCACAGTACTCGCTCCCATACTGTTCCTCATCCTCATATCTGAAAGACACAGGGATGTAAGCCACAGCACCGTGTCTTCCTTTGCAGATGACACCTGAATTTGCATGACAGTGTCCTCCAGTGAAGATACCACAAGACTCTAGGCGGACATCAATCAAATCTTTAAATGGGCCACAGAAAACAATATGAAGTTCAATGATGAGAAATTTTAATTACTCCAATATGGAAAACGTGAGGAAATTAAATCTTCATCGGAGTATAAAACAAATTCCAACCACACAATAGAGCAAAAAACTAATGTAAAAGACCTGGGAGTGATCATGTCAGAGGATCTCACCTTCAAAGACCATAACAGTGTATCAATTGCATCTGCTAGAAAAAATGACAGGATGGATAATGAGAACCTTCAAAGCTAGGGATGCCAAACCCATGATGACACTCTTCAGGTCACTTGTTCTATCTAGGCTGGAATATTGCTGTACACTAACAGCACCTCCCCAGGCAGGTGAAATTCCTGACCTAGAAAATGTACAGAGAACCTTCATGGCACTCATAACTGCGATAAAACACCTAAATTACTGGGAAAGCTTGAAGTTCCTCAACCTGTACTCCCTAGAATGCAGGCCGGAGAGATACATGATTGTATACACTTGGAAAATCCTAGAGGGATTAGTACCAAACTTGCACACGAAAATCACTCCCTATGAAAGCAAAAGACTCTGCAGACGATGCAACATCCCAGCAATGAAAAGCAGGGGTGCCACTAGCACAATAAAAGACAAGATAATAAGTGTCAAGGGCCCAAGACTGTTCAACTGCCTTCTAGCATACATTAGGGGTATTACCAATAGACCCCTGGCTATCTTCAAGAAGGCACTGGACAGGCACCTAAAGTCAGTACCTGACCAGCCAGGCTGTGGTTCGTATGTTGGGTTGCGTGCGGCTAACAGCAACAGCCTGGTTGATCAGGCTCTGATCCACCATGAGGCCTGGTCACAGACCAGGCCACGGGAGTGTTGACCCCTTAAACCCTCACCAGGTATACTCCAGGTATACATGATGCTCAGGGAAAATGGGTTACATTGGCCTTGATGTCACATGGATCCTGTGTTAAGGGAAAGGATACAATGGTTTTAAAGCTACATGGACACTTGTATGCTGTTGAGGGAAAGGGTTAAGATGGCCCTGCCAGTGCATGGCGCCTACATGTTGGGAGGAAGAATTAAGATGGCCCTGAAGGTGCACGAGTCCCACATGTTGTTGGGAGGAAAGTTTTTATTCTTTTTTCTTTTTTTTATTTATCACACAAATCAGTTTTAAAGGTTAAGAGCTGTCATCCTACCTCGGCTCATTTCGAAGCCCAGCCCTAGGGTATATAGCCTCTCCTCACTCAGCGACGTACTCGTTTACTGATGCCTTGAACTTATGACGGGCTCTCTGACCAGTAAGCATACCTAAATAATGTATATTAGAGCTGATTTCCTCTATTCTTTTTATTAAAATACAGAGTACACTGCTATATAAACATTTAAAAATCTACCAGAAATGTTATAAATGGTGGAAAGGTGACATTAAAGCAATATCAAAGATGGTAGACACAAACCCACTACCATCATAGTATGCTCCTCACTTATGACGAATTCATTTACTTATATGGTCTTAGGAACAGAGCTCTGTTGTTAAGTGAAGAGAGGCTGTACTACCACCCCCAGGATGCAGCCCACAAGTCAACTAACACCCAGGTACCTACTTACTGCATGGTGAACATGGGCAGTAGGTGTAAGGTAACATGCCCAATGTTTTCCCCCATGCCAGGGGTCGAACCACAGAAATAAGTCAATATGTGACTTTACAAAATTGCTTAGTTTTGATTTATGTAAACATAAATAAAAACTTATTTATTTAGTTACTTATATGTGCCCTGAAGTCACATGGACCCTATACACTCAGTGGTCACAAATGTACACCTGCTCGTTAATGCAAATATTTAATCAATCAAATGGCAGCACCTCAGTGCCTAAAAGCATACAGACATGGTCAAGAGATTCAACTGGTGTTCAGAAAATTCAGAATGGGGAAGAAATGTGATCTAAGTGACTTTAACTGTGGAATGATTATTGATGCCAGATAGAGTGGTTTGAGTATCTCAAAAACTGCTGATCTCTTGGGATTTTCATGCACAACTGCCACCCCAGTGAGCTGCAGTTCTTTGGGCAAAAATGCCTTTAAGAGGTTAGAGGAGAATGACTGGACTGATTTAAGCTGACAGGAAGGTGAGAGTAATTTTAATAACCATGCATTACGACAGTGGTATGCAGAAGAGCATCTCTAAACACACACAACACACTGATACTTGAAATGGATGGGCAACAGCAGCAGAACACAAGAGGTTTCCACTCCTCTCAGCTAAGAACAGGCAACAGAGGCTACAGTGGGTACAGGCTCACTGGATGGCTGAAGATTGGAAAAACATCCCTTGGTCTAACGAATTGCATGCAATGTGCAGATGGTAGGGTCAGAATTTGTTGTAAACCTTCGGAATGTAATGGAACAAGAGATTCACAGCATGAATGTGCAGCCAACAAATTTGTAACAACTGCATGATGCTATCATGTCAACATGAACTAGGATCTCTAAGGAATGCTACTAGCACGTTGTTGAATCTATGCCATGAAGAATTCAGGCTGTTCTGGGAGCAAAGGGAGGGCTCCTAACTACCACTGGAAAGGTATACTTAATAAGGCAGCCACTGAGTGTATGATGTTGAGGGAAGGGTTATGACTGCCCTAAGACTGCATGAACCCTGTATGTTCTTTGAGAAGGGTATGACACCCGTGACTGCTAGGATCAATGCTTTTCGAGGAGGAGTTATGATGCACCATGGAACTGCATGAACATTATTGTATTGCCAAAAGGAAAAGTTACAATGACCCTGACACTACATGAGCCTTGTAATATTGAAACTGCATTGACTATAAATATTACTGTGTGGAAGGGTTATAACAGACCTGAGACTGCATGACCCCTATGTATTGATAAGTTTGAAGGGACACGACAGCTCTAAGGTGCAGGGACCTTATATGTTGTTGGGTAGAAGAGATATGAGTGCACTGAGATCACATGAACCCCCAATGGAATTGTGTAGTTGAAGGGCCACAACATTCTTAAAGTCATATGAATCTTACAGATGAATGCCACAAATATCTTTAATTCAGTGGTTGCCTGATTTTTTTATTCTTCCTCCAAACTTTCATTTATAACCTGAGAGCATCTCATCTGATCGGATTCAACTTTTCAGTGCTGGATTACTCTACAGGAAAAAGGTTCATGCAACTACTGGTGTGTACAGGTCCCACATGATCAATACATTTTAGAGACTATTGCAAGTCTCCTTAAATGCATCTGATAACTTTTACAAACCTCATTTGACTGGACCTAAACATTCAACACCAGAGTATTGTCCGAAGACAAAGGAAGAGTGATACTGAAGTATGTAGGCATACTTTTACCAGTTTTATGTCTAAAATATTATAAAATTTCCTATACCCCTTCAATCATGGTAAACATATTTGAAAATTTCCACCCAACAGCATCAATCATGTTAAATATATTTAAAAATGTCTCTTTTTCCTAGGTAGTAGGTTAGTAGACAGCAACCACCCAGGGAGATACTACCATCATGCAAAGTGAGTGTGAAATAGAAACCTGTAGTTATTTTACATGATGGTAGGATTGCTGGTGTCACACTACACTTGCATGTACATGCATATATATACACACACCCATCTGGGTTTTCTATTTTCTTAATAATTCTTGTTCTTCTTTATTTCTCTTATCTCCAAGAGTGAGTGGAAAAGAATTCTTCCTCCATAAGCCATGTGTGTCATAAGAGGCAACTAAAATGCTGGGAGCAAGAGCCTAGTAACCCCTTCTCCTGTATAAATTACTAAATTTAAAAAGAAAAACTTTTGTTTTTCTTTTTAGGTCACCCTTCCTCAATGGGAGATGGTCAGTGTGTTAAAAATAAAAATGTCTCTTTTTCAATGGCTTTAATCTTTTTGTGCTGATGCATCTTAAATGCAGTATGGTGTTGGTAAGTTAAGTTTGCGCAGGTGCAAATTTGACAATTCGTTGACATTCCTCTTTTGACCAGCTTCAAATTTTCAGTGAGAGTGATGTGCATGTGTGCACACCACTATACGTATACATATGTGACTGCAGTAGTTCCTGCAGTCCATCTCCCAACTTGCCACTTAGATTCACTCTCTCCCTCTTAGCCTTGTGTGCCTTATTGTATCTGCCCTTAAAATTATGCATAGAGCCTGCCTCCACCACTTTTTCACCAAGATCATTCCACTTTCTGACCATCCTGAGAATGAAGAAATGCTTCCTGACATCCCTTTGGCTCATCTGTGTCTTTAACTTACAGCTGTGTCCCTGAATTTGCATTTCTCACCTCTCTAACAGCCTGTCCCTGTGTATCCTTTGAATTTGTACAAGAATGGTATACAATACCGACAAGATGAAATTGAGACACATGTGCAACATCTGGGTATCTTTATTGTAGACGTTTCGCCATCCAGTGGCTTTATCAATACAAATTCCAGGACATAACTTGAAGACAGGAGAACTATGTACAGAAGATGAGGTAATCAGTCCCTCAACCTAGCAGTAGGTGCGAAGAGCACCATAGTCGTGGAGATTCTGAGGCAGAAGCAAGGCGCCTGACGCTTATATAGTAACGTCAGGTGGAAATGGGACGGGTAGCAGACGAGGGCATAGTCACTGGTAGGCGGGATTCCCCAGTGGAAGTAGGTCCTAACCAAAGAGATGGGTTAGTTGTAGTAGTAGTTGTCGTAGTCGTGAAGGTTATGTACATGTCCTCAGAATCAAGATTCCATGATGTTGCAGTGTCTGACAGGTTGTACAAGAATGGTATACAATACCAACAAGATGAAATTGAGACACATTTTCAACATCTGGGTACCTTCACGGCTACGACAACTACTACTACAACTAACATATCTCTTTGGGTAGGACCTACTTCCGTTGGGGAATCCCGCCTACCAGTGACTATGCCCTCGTCTGCTACCCGTCCCATTTCCACCTGACGTTACTATATAAGCGTCAGGCGCCTTGCTTCTGCTTCAGAATCTCCACGACTATGGTGCTCTTCGCACCTACTGCTAGGTTGGGGGACTGTTTACCTCATCTTCTGTACATAGTTCTCCTGTCTTCAAGTTAAGTCCTGGAATTTGTATTGATAAAGCCACTGGATGGCGAAACGTCTACAATAAAGATACCCAGATGTTGCACATGTGTCTCAATTTCATCCTTTAAATTTACCCTGTATATCTTCCTTGACTCTTCTATCCTCAAATGTCATTAGATTCAATTCCATAATCATCTCCTCATAGCTCATGCCCCCTTAACTTTGGAACAAGCCTTGTTGCATACTTCTGCACTTTTTCCAGTTTCTTAACATGCTTCCTCAGGTTTGTGTTCCATGCTGGTGCTATATACAGTGTACCACAAGATGGGCTTGGCATATGTTGTATAAAGTGCCCAGAAAGACTCTTTCTCAAGATTCTTTAAGGACACTCCTAGATTTGCCAGGCGAGCATTGACTGCAGTGGTTATTCAGTTGATGTAAACCTCTGGTGAAATCCCAGGCACTATGCTCATCCCTAGGCTTTCCTCTCTGAGCGAGGTCTATAATCTCTGCTCCCTGAGGCTATACACTGTGTCCAGTCTTCTGTACCCCTCCCCTATCTTCTTGACCATGCATTAGTTGGAGATGAATTCAAGGAACCACTTATCTAACCAATCTTGCAGCTTGTCCAGATCCATTTACAACTTTTCCCTTTTCTTTTATGTTTTTAATCCTCTCAGTTGTACATCATCAGCAAACAAGGATACATCTGATTCAGTCTCATCTGGAATGTCGTTCTCATAAACCAGGAATAGTACCTGCCTTAATAACGATCTTTTTTGTGTGTGCCTGCACGAGTACGTGCGTGTGCGTGTGTGTGTGCATGTGTTTGTTTGTTCATTTATTTTTCTGGGACACCCTGCTTGGTGGGAAAAAGCCACTGAGTTAAAAAAAAAAAATATACTGTATATATTTTTTTCAAAAATATTGATGTGTTCATCTCACTTTCCAAATTTAGGACAAAGTACAGTAGTCTTTACTTTTATTTTTTCCCTTTTTCCAGGATAAATTATATACGTACATAACAGAAATTCTAATAATTTTAGTTTGTTTTAGAATGTTTTTTTTTGTTAGAGCAGGATACCATGATGAGAAAAAATGTACATGAATGTGTATAAAATATTTTTCTGAATTTTGGATCCTTGAGTATGATTAAGATTCATTCATATTCTCACTAAATTAAATAAAAGAGAAGACAACTTTTTCAGTTTAATAATTTGGGTTAGGATCATGCATAGTTATGAAAATGAAAAAGTATTAGGTATTATTTCTACTGACATTTACTGATTTATACATAATACTGCATATTAAAAATACAACAATAGAGTACAGATTTTACAGTACAGATTTTATTTTACATACAATAGTATACAATAAGTTCAAATGCTAATTTCTATCCAGATTAGAATAAGGCAAAATAATTTAGTGTTCTTGAGTTAAGGGTAAAATAAATAAAAGTAAAAAAAGTGCCACAGATTGCAAAATTTATAATAAAAAAAGCAAATGCTTTTTTATCTTGTTAATATTCTAAAAATATATCTTTTTTTCCTTTTAAGTATTATATAAAACTTTGCCTTGGTGGGAGAAGGCTGGCATGCTAAAAAAAAAAAAAATTACTTTCATGACATTTTTATTATTATTTTAACCCAGTTACTGTTATTGTACATATTTTTAGATGTAATCTAAGGTGCATGATGTTAAAAATCACAACTAATATCTGTATAACAATACATACTTTCGCTTCATAAATTTTTTCTTCAGTGGAGTTACGGGTTAATACTGATTCAAAATTAATATAAAAGTTGCTAAACCTGGATAGTTTCTGCTATAAAGTCAAAGAGCAAATCTGACTGCAGGTGGAATTTTCAATAAGGCCGGTGTGAGGCCATTATAGATATTGAAAGTGAATTCTGCTTGCCCTCTGATCAATGAAACGGTCTATTAAGATATAATGAATCAATATCTCAACCTGGCAATCTAGTGTGTCCAAGTCTTGATTGTGAAAGCATAGTTCTCCATACCTACAGGTATGGAAAGATAATGTTCAGGAGCCCAGCTGATGTCAGTGATAAAGTTAGGGCATTTACCATGACATTTTAATTTTTTTAAAACATCGACCATTCCCCACCGAGGAAGGGTTACCCAGAAAAAGAAAAAACATTTTCATTATCGCTCGCTCCATCACTGTCTTCCCAGAGGCGTGCCAATGCTACAGCTTTAAAATTTCAGCATAATTTCTACCCCTGCTACAGAGTGCAGGCACTACACTTCCCACCTCCATGACCCAAGTTCAGCTAACCAGTTACCCTGAATCCTTTCATAAATGTTACATTGCTCATGGTCCAACAGAATGTCAAGTCATAAAACCACTTGCCTCCACTCACTCCTATCTAACACACTCACACATGTTTGTGGATGTCTAAGCCCCTTGTACACAAAACCTCTGTTACCCTGTTCCTCTAACCTCTCCTAGGACGACATCTAATCTGTCTTCCCTCTACTACAGATATATATACGCTCTCCAAGTCATCCTATTGTGTTCCATCCTCTCTAAATGTCCGAACCACCTCAGCATTTGAAAATTTGATCATAGCTCTTTGAAACCAGAGAAACTGGCTATACAATGTTGATGGACAAACTGGAACAAATTCCAGGAGTCATACACTTTTTGTTACCACTCCTGGATCTACAAGCAACTTCCAGTAACCCTTCTGCTATCCGAGAGCTTGCACAATCTTCATGTCACTGGGACATGTCAAATGGCTCTCACTGAAAGTCCATTTAGCATGCCTCAAGATGCTCCAATTTCCATTAGATGGAGTAACACAACCACCACAGCAACACCTCTTGGAGAAAAGCTACAACAGGGCCTTTCACTATACGTATTGCTCAACTGAACAAAAGAGAAATATTCCTACTAAAAAGGCCAAAAGTAGAGGAAAGGGAAAGGCATTCAGGTTTAATCTGTGGAAAGGGAGGACAGAGTCAGTTCCAGGAAAGGAGCCCCCTTTATTAGCATCAAAGAACCCCTCCCCCCCCCCTTGAAAATGAAATGTGTAAATATACAACAAAGTTGAATAAATAACAGATGCAATGGATAGCTTTATTACATGGCAACATTTCACCTTTATCAACATTGTCATTAAGTGTTATTTATTTTTTATCCCTGGATTTATACTTATCTTGCACACAAATATTTTCTACAAAACAGTGGAACCTCAGTTTTCGTTATTAATCCATTCGAAAATGTCTGACGAAAACCGAATCGTACGAAAACTGAAGCACTATTTCCCATAAGAAATAATGTAAATCCAATTAATCTGTTCCAGGCACCCAAAAATATTAATAAAAAATACATTTTATAGAGAATAACTATAGTTTTACATACAGAAATAAATATAAATGACTAATGAAATGGATAAATGAACATTTAACATCACTTTTACCTTCATCAAAGACTCTTGTTGGTGTATGGAAGATGGCGAGGAGGGAAGAGGGAGGAGGAGAGGTTATTGTTTGGAAGAGGAATCCCCATCCATAAGGAATTCAGGTATCAAGGCCCTATCCGAGGTTACTTCCCTTCTTTGTCTTTTACTGGCACTAGGACCAGCTTGAGAGTCACTGGACCCCTGTTGCAAAAAAAAAAAAAAACTGTCCAGAGAGATCTGTTTCTGGTGTCTCTTTAAGATTTGCCTAAAATGGGACAAGGCACTGTCATTGAACATGTTGCAGACATGGCTTGCAACAGCTTTGTTAGAGTGATATTTCTCCACAAAACTTTGCAACTTATTCCACTTGGCACACATGTCTTTAATCACTGAAGAAGGCACATTTTCCCCTCTCTCTTCTTCCTCCTGTGAAACAATTTTCTCAGCTGTGGTCCATTGCTGTTTCAGTTGAAGGTCTTGCAGCTCTTCAGTGGTTAGCTCTTCCCTGTGGTCGTCCACCAACTCTTCCACATCCTGGCCACTCACATCCAACCCCATGGACTTCCCCAAATACCTTAGTACCTTTGAAGAGTTTCGAGAGTTTATCTACTCTCTCAGCCTCAAACCCTTCAAAATCACGAATGCATGGGATATTTGTGTGAGTGCCTGATTCCGGGAAATGAGTGGCCGAGTCATGCAGGCAGGCGGACAAGTTTGGTATGGACCATTTTCAACTGTATGAAAACCAAGTGGATGTACGAAAACTGGGACAAAATTTCAACGATAAAAGTTGTCGGAAACCAAATCATATGAAAACTAGGGCATATGAAAACTGAGGGTCCACTGTATTTATATTTACATGAAGAATTTATATACTGGAGATTATTTAAACTTATTCTTTGAGGCGCTCTTGTTTAATTCTCTTGTTTCACTTCCATGACTTGCTCCACATGTTGTAGTTCAGGTAGTTGATTTTTAACTTTGTTCCCAGATGTGACAGCTGTAAGTTTAGAATTCCATGAATAGTTTATCATAAGAAATTTTGTGCATAATCATGCAGCAATATACCACCAAACTGTTTCAAGGACTGAAGCTGAAAACATCCCAAATACAGTAAGCCTCAATAAGGCACAAAAGTTCCAAACCTCATGTTCTACAGATCCATCTGCCAACAAGTTCACTCCCAAATATTTAACCCTTTGACTGTCGAGACCCCTGTTCGCAAACTTGCTCTCAGTGTCGAAGAATTAAAAAAAAAAAAAAAAAAAATTCTTATGAAATGATAGAGAATCTTTTCCCAATGGTAATGACACTAAAAGTATGAAATTTGACCAAAAACTTATGGAATTATGCTCTCGTGAAGTTAGTGATCTTGGTGATATTTACGCATTGGCGATTTTGCCAACTTTGAACCCTATTTTTGGCTAATTCCATTGTTCCAGTCGACCAAACTCATAGCCATTTCTTTAGAACTCCATTTGAGTACAAGAAACCTCCCATTTACCGATTTCAACTACCTAATAAAGTGCTCAGAAAATGGCAATTTGGCCAATTTCACACAAATTAAAAAAGATACCGATTTCAAAATAGGGTCCAGAATGAACAATGCAGACATTCCTGGCACTAAAATAACATTTTCTCTGTTCATCAGTCATATCTCCAGGCCCCTCTTATATTACTCTTGCTTTCTATTTTGAATTTTTATTCACACAAAAATTTGAAGATGTACTGTCATGCAGACTACTGCATTATTGTAATAATTGTATAAATAATGTCAACTCATTCATGACTGTGTGTTAGAATGTCTAGCTGGACACTTATTGGACAATGATGTCATTTGTTTACTCTTGAGCATTGGCAAAAATCGAACATTTCCGCTACTATGAGCTCAATTTCAAGGTCCTTTTCATCGTGAAACCAATCAAAATCATCTATATTTTTGTAACATGTCTTCCATTCTATCAAATGAGACCAAGAAAACGAGAATACAACCATAATACTATACGAAAATACACCTCAAAGTCAGCATTTTAATAAAAAAACACGGTCGGATTTTTTTTCTCATTATGCACTGCGTGCTGCAGGATTTTTTCTATACTGCGCACACTGACCACACAGACCCATTCTCTCACATGTGGGCCTATCAGCTTTCTCCTGCTTGATTTGAAGCCGCTAGAATTTTGGAGTATAAATACACCAAAAACACTGGCTCGTAAAACATATATATACATTTACTTCCTGCCTCGGTGGCAGATGGCTGGTGTGTTAAAAAAAAAAATTTACTACCTCTTTCCAATCTCTCATTACCTAAATTCTTTTGTTACTCTCATTACCTTGCTCTTTTTTATATTCACTTTTAATTTCCTTCTTTCACATACCCCAATATTCATCAGCAAAAGGCAGTTGTGACAACTCTCACTTTGTATCAGATCTGATACCTTTTAATCCACATAAAAACTCTTTACTGCTCTTAACCCCTTCAGGGTCCAAGGCCCAAATCTGAAGTGGTGCCCCAGTGTCCAAGAATTTAAAAAAAAAAAAACATTTATTTTTTCTTATGAAATGGTAGAGAATCTTTTTGTGAAGGTAATAAAACAAAAAGTACGAAATTTGATGGAAAACTGACGAAATTATGCTCTCGCGAATTTTGATGTGTCAGCGATATTTACGAATCGGCAATTTTGCAAACTTTGACTCCCATTTTAGGCCAATTACATTATTCCAGTCAACCAAATTCTTAGCTATTTCACTAGTATTACTTCTATTCTATTGATTGAGCACAAGAAATCGCCAAGTCAACTGTTTCAACTACAAATTAAAGTGATTGGAAATTGTTAATTTGGCCAATTTAACACAAAGTTCAAAATATTCCAATTTCAAAATAGGGTCCAGAATAAACAATGTAGGTATTCCTGGAACTAAACTAACATTTCCTCTGTTCATTAGTTACGTTTTGAGGCTTTACAAATAAATTCCATTTTGATTTTTTATTCACATAATGAATTTTTATTCACACCAAAAAATAGAAGATTTACTGTTATGCAATACTGTAATAATTGTATAAATATCATCACCATATCTGTGAATGCATATTAGACCCACCAGCTGGCGTGTATTAGACGAGTGAGGTCGTTTGTTTACTCTTGAATATCGGCAAAAATTTAACATTTCTGCTACTTTGAGCTCAGTTTCAAGCCATTTCCAGTGCTAAAACCAAACAAAATCATCTCTATTTCTGTAATATGTCTTCCATTCTATCAAATGAGACCAAGAAATTGCAAATAGAACTATAAAAAACATACAAAAAACACTGCAAATTCGCTGTTTTAATCGAAAAATCATGATTTCAGTTTTTTTCTCTCATTATACACAGCGTGCTGCAGGATCTGTTTTATGTGGTGCACACATACCACATAGATGTATTCTCTCATATTTAGGCCCAAATGTACCACTCACAGTTTATCAGAGTGAGCTGAGCTCATGACGTAGATCTACGGTTTGGACCCTGAACGTAAAGCCGTAGATCGACAGGACGGACCCTCAAAGGGTTAATAACCTACCACTTGTTCCATATATCTGCAACATCTGCCACATTGCTCCACTATCCACTCAATGTCTTTTCTAAATCCATAAATTGAACAAAATGCTCCTCACCTTCATCTAAGTATGTATTGTTCCCTTATTTAGTCTTATCTTTAATTCTTTCAATAATATTATACATTTTACCTAACAGCCTTTTTTTTTTTTTTCAACAAGCCGGTCGTCTCCCACTGAGGCAGGGTGACCCAAAAAGAAAGAAAATCCCCAAAAAGAAAATACTTTCATCATCATTCAACACTTTCACCTCACTTGCACATAATCACTGTTTTTGCAGAGGTGCTTAGAACACAACAGTTTAGAAGCATATACGTATAAAGATACACAACATATCCCTCCAAACTGCTAATATCCCGAACTCCTCCTTTAGAGTGCAGGCATTGTACTTCCCATTTCCAGGACTCAAATCCGGCTATATAAAAATAACCAGTTTCCCTGAATACCTTCACTAAATATTACCCTGCTCACACTCCAACAGATCGTCAGGTCCCAAATACCATTCGTCTCCATTCACTCCTATCGAACACACTCATGCACGCCTGCTGGAAGTCCAAGCCCCTCGCCCACAAAACCTCCCTTACCCCTTCCTTCCAACCTTTTCGAGGACGACCCCTACCCCGCCTTCCTTCTCCTACAGATTTAAATGCTCTCCATGTCATTCTACTTTGATCCATTCTCTCTAAATGACCAAACCACTTCAACAACCCCTCTTCAGCATAATATTTACACCGCACATTGCCCTTAGACAGGACATCTCCACTGCCTCCAACCGCCTCCTCGCTGCTGCATTCACAACCCAAGCTTCACACCCATATAAGAGTGTTGGTACTACTATACTTTCATACATTCCCTTCTTTGCCTCCATAGATAATGTTTTTTGACTCCACATATACCTCAACACACCACTCACCTTTTTTCCCTCATCAATTCTATGATTAACCTCATCCTTCATAAATCCATCCGCTGACACGTCAACTCCCAAGTACAGTATCTGAAAACATTCACTTCTTCCATACTCCTCCTCCCCAATTTGATATCCAATTTTTCTTTATCTAAATCATTTGATACCCTCATCACCTTACTCTTTTCTATGTTCACTTTCAACTTTCTACCTTTACACACACTGCCAAATTCGTCCACTAACCTTTGCAAATTTTCTTTAGATTCTCCCATAAGCACAGTATCATTAGCAAAAAGTAACTGTGTCAATTCCCATTTTGTATTTGATTCCCCATAATTTAATCCCACCCCTCTCCCGAACACCCTAGCATTTACTTCTTTTACAACCCCATCTATAAATATATTAAACAACCATGGTGACATTACACATCCCTGTCTAAGACCTACTTTTACTGGGAAGTAGTCTCCCTCTCTTGTACACACCCTAACCTGAGCCTCACTATCCTCATAAAAACTCTTTACAGCATTTAGTAACTTACCACCTATTCCATATACAGTACTTGCAACATCTGCCACATTGTTCCAATATCCACTCTATCATATTTTTTTTTTTCAACAAGTCGGCCGTCTCCCACCGAGGCAGGGTGACCCAAAAAAAAAGAAAGAAAATCCCCAAAAAGAAAATACTTTCATCATCATTCAACACTTTCACCACACTCACACATTATCACAACATATCCATCCAAACTGCCAATATCCTAAACCCCTCCTTTAAAGTGCAGGCATTGTACTTCCCATTTCCAGGACTCAAGTCCGACTAAATGAAAATAACTGGTTTCCCTGAATCCTTTCACTAAACATTACCCTGCTCACACTCCAACAGATCGTCAGGTCCCAAGTACCATTCGTCTCCATTCACTCCTATCTAACACTCTCACACACGCTTGCTCGAAGTCGAAGCCCCTCGCCCACAAAACCTCCTTTACCCCCTCTCTCCAACCCTTTCAAGGACGACCCCTACCCCGCCTTCCTTCCCCTACAGATTTATATGCTTTCCATGTCATTCTACTTTGATCCATTCTCTCTAAACGACCAAACCACCTCAACAACCCCTCTTCTGCCCTCTGACTAATGCTTTTATTAACTCCACACCTTTTCCTAATTTCCACACTCCAAATTTTCTGCATAATATTTACACCACACATTGCCCTTAGACAGGACATCTCCACTGCCTCCAACCGTCTCCTCGCTGCTGCATTTACCACCAAAGCTTCACACCCATATAAGAGTGTTGGTACTACTATACTTTCATACATTCTCTTCTATGCCTCCATAGATAACTTTTTTGACTCCACATATACCTCAATGCACCACTCACCTTTTTTCCCTCATCAATTCTATGATTAACCTCATCCTTCATAAATCCATCCGCCGACACGTCAACTCCCAAGTACAGTGGACCCCCGCATAACGATTACCTCCGAATGTGACCAATTATGTAAGTGTATTTATGTAAGTGTGTTTGTATGTGTATGTTTGGGGGTCTGAAATGGACTAATCTACTTCACAATATTTCTTATGGGAACAAATTCGGTCAGTACTGGCACCTGAACATACTTCTGGAGTGAAAAAATATCGTTAACCGGGGGTCCACTGTATCTGAAAACATTCACTTCTTCCATAGTCCTCCTCCCCAATTTGATATCCAATTTTTCTTTATCTAAATCATTTGATACCCTCATAACCTTACTCTTTTCTATGTTCACTTTCAACTTTCTACCTTTACACACATTCCCAAACTCATCCACTAACCTTTGCAATTTTTCTTTAGAATCTCCCATAAGCACAGTATCATCAGCAAAAAGTAACTGTGTCAATTCCCATTTTGAATTTGATTCCCCATAATTTAATCCCACCCCTCTCCTGAACACCCTAGCATTTACTTCTTTTACAACCCCATCTATAAATATATTAAACAACCATGGTGACATTACACATCCCTGTCTAAGACCTACTTTTACCGGGAAGTAGTCTCCCTCTCTTCTACACACCCTAACCTGAGCCTCACTATCCTCATAAAAATTCTTTACAGCATTTAGTAACTTACCACCTATTCCATATACTTGCAACATCTGCCACATTGCTCCTCTAACCACTCTATCATATGCTTTTTCTAAATCCATAAATGCAATAAAAACTTCCCTACCTTTATCTAAATACTGTTCACATACATGCTTCAATGTAAACACTTGATCTACACATCCCCTATCCACTCTGAAACCTCCTTGCTCATCCGCAATCCTACATTCTGTCTTACCTCTAATTCTTTCAATAATAACCCTAGCGTACACTTTTCCTGGTATACTCAGTAAACTTTTTATTTTTTTTCAACAAGCCGGCCATCTCCCACAGAGGCAGGGTGACCCAAAAAGAAAGAAAATCCCCAAAAAGAAAATACTTTCATCATCATTCAACACTTTCACCTCACTCACACATAATCACTGTTTTTGCAGAGGTGCTCAGAACACAACAGTTTAGAAGCATATACGTATAAAGATACACAACATATCCCTCCAAACTGTTAATAGTAAACTTATTCCTCTATAATTTTTACAATCTCCTTTGTCCCACTTCCCTTTATATAAAGGGACTATACATACTCTCCGCCAATCCCTAGGTACCTTCCCCTCTTTCATACATTTATTAAACAAAAGTACCAACCACTCCAACGCTATATTCCCCCCTGCTTTTAACATTTCTGTCATGATCCCATCAGTTCCAGCTGCTTTACCCCCTTTCATTCTACGTAATACCTCACGTACCTCCCCCCCACACTTACATTCTGCTCTTCTTCACTCCTGAAAGATGGTATACCTCCCTGGCCAGTGCATGAAATTACCGCCTCCCTTTCTTCCTCAACATTTAAAAGTTCCTCAAAATATTCTCACCATCTACCTAATACCTCCCTCTCTCCATCTACTAACTCCCCTACTCTGTTTTTAACTGACAAATCCATATGTTCCCTAGGCTTTCTTAACTTGTTTAACTCACTCCAAAATTTTTTCTTCTTTCTTCTTTCAACGTACCAGCCGTATCCCACCGAGGTGGGGTGGCCCAAAAGAAAACACGAAAGTTTCTCCTTTCAAATTTAGTAATATATACAGGAGAAGGGGTTACTAGCCCCTTGCTCCCGGCATTTCAGTCGCCTCTTACGACATGCATGGCTTACGGAGGAAGTATTCTGTTCCACTTCCCCATGGAGATAAGAGGAAATAAACAAGAACAAGAACTAGAAAGAAAATAGCAGAAAACCCAGAGGGGTGTGTATATATATGCTTGTACATGTATGTGTAGTGTGACCTAAGTGTAAGTAGAAGTGGCAAGACATACCTGAAATCTTGCATGTTTATGAGACAGAAAAAAAAGACACCAGCAATCCTACCATCATGTAAAACAATTACAGGTTTTCGTTTTACACTCACTTCGCAGGACGGTAGTACCTCCCTGGGTGGTTGCTGTCTACCAACCTACTACCTATCAAATTTTTTCTTATTTTCATTAAAATTTCTTGACAGTGCCTCTCTCACTCTATCATCTGCTCTCCTTTTGCACTCTCTCACCACTCTCTTCACCTTTCTTTTACTCTCCATATACTCTGCTCTTCTTATAACACTTCTGCTTTGTAAAAACATCTCATAAGCTAACTTTTTCTCTTTTATCACACCCCTATAATTCTCACTCTTTCTTTTATTCCATTTTTCCTTATGCAAAACAACTATATATGATCTCTGCCAATCCCTAGGTGCCTTTCCCCTTTGTAAAGTGAAGGACACAAGTGCAACTAATGTGACATTTTTATTGTGGCAACATTTCACTCTCCAGGAGCTTTGTCAAGCCGTTACGGCTTGACAAAGCTCCTGGAGAGCGAAATGTTGCCACAATAAAAATGTCACATTAGTTGCACTTGTGTCCTTTTACTTTACATATTGTCGGTAATTCTACCAACATTATTACACACCTTTCCCCTTTACATATACTGAACAAATGCACCAATTACTTGAAAACTATATCTCCACCTGCCTTTAACATTTCCATCTTAATCCCATCTATTCCAGTTGCTTTACTTTCCTTTCATTCTGCCCCACACACTCACATCTTGCTCTTCCTCACTCCTACAAGATGGTATACCTCTCTGCCCAATGCACGAGCTCACTGCCTCTCTTTTTTCATTAACATTCAACAACTCCTCAAAACATTCCCTTTATCTTCCCAATACTTCCACCTCCTCATCTAATAATGCCCCTCTTTTGTTTTAACTGATAAATCCATTTGTTCCTCAGGCTCTCTCAGCTTAGTGATCTCATTTCATATATTTTTTATATTCTCTTTGAAATTTGTTGATAAAGCCTCCCCCACTCTCACTGGCTTGAATTTGCACTCCTACACCACTCTTTCAACCCCCTTTTTCTCTTCATATATCCCACCCTTCATAAATCACTTCTAAACTGTAAAACCCTTTCATTTACTCACTTTTTTCTCCCTTACCATCCTCTTAACTCATCATTTCACCATCATTCTTCTCATCACCTGCACCCATCCTCTAACACCATACCTTTTAAGTCTACTCCACACCTGTTCAATCCCCTCCTTATTACCTTTACATACTCTGCCCCACCTTTCTCCCAACAGTTCTTTATAACTTACCCTACCTGACTCCTCCTTTAATTTATTCAATACTCTCATCCTCTCACCACAGTTACCACTAAATAATGGCCTGGTGGCTAATGCTCTCGCTTCACACGGCAAGGGCCTGGGTTCGATTCCCAGCCAGAGTAGAAACACTGGGCGTGTTTCTTTACACCTGTTGTCTATGTTCCCCATCAGTAAAATGGATACCTGGGTGTTAGTCGACTGGTGTGGGTCGCATCCTGGGGCACTGACCTAATTTGCCCAAAATGCTGAGCATAACAAGGGGCTTTCTATATAGTAGTATGTCATTGATGTCAGCTAGGCTTGTATGCCATGTACATGTACTTGTAGTAAATAAAGATATTATTATTATTTTTTTTTTTTTCAACAAGTCGGCCGTCTCCCACCGAGGCAGGGTGACCCAAAAAAGTAAGAAAATCCCCAAAAAGAAAATACTTTCATCATCATTCAACACTTTCACCACACTCACACATTATCACTGTTTTTGCAGAGGTGCTCAGAATACAACAGTTTAGAAGCATATACGTATAAAGATACACAACATATCCCTCCAAACTGCCAATATCCCAAACCCCTCCTTTAAAGTGCAGGCATTGTACTTCCCATTTCCAGAACTCAAGTCCGACTATATAAAAATAACCGGTTTCCCTGAATCCCTTCACTAAATATTACCCTACTCACACTCCAACAGATCGTCAGGTCCCAAGTATCATTCGTCTCCATTCACTCCTATCTAACACGCTCATGCACGCTTGCTGGAAGTCCAAGCCCCTCGCCCACAAAACCTCCTTTACCCCCTCTTTCCAACCCTTTTGAGGACGACCCCTACCCCTCCTTCCTTCCCCTATAGATTTATATGCTTTCCATGTCATTCTACTTTGATCCATTCTCTCTAAATGACCAAACCACCTCAACAACCCCTCTTCTGCCCTCTGACTAATGCTTTTATTAACTCCACACCTTCTCCTAATTTCCACACTCCGAATTTTCTGCATAATATTTACACCACACATTGCCCTTAGACAGGACATCTCCACTGCCTCCAACCGTCTCCTCGCTGCTGCATTTACCACCCAAGCTTCACATCCATATAAGAGTGTTGGTACTACTATACTTTCATACATTCCCTTCTTTGCCTCCATAGATAACGTTTTTTGACTCCACATATACCTCAACGCACCACTCACCTTTTTTCCCTCATCAATTCTATGATTAACCTCATCCTTCATAAATCCATCCGCCGACACGTCAACTCCCAAGTATCTGAAAACATTCACTTCTTCCATACTCATCCTTATTACTATATATATATATGTTACTCCACTAAAACCATGCACATTCAGAGATATTTAATGAAAATAACTTATTGGCCTGTGTAATTGATTCTTGAAAAAAAAAAAATTTATAAATGTTTTACAGAGAATAAGAGTGATGAGAAAGTATCAGAGTGGCATGCATCTAAGATACCATCAGAACAACATTAGCTGGAACTATTCACCCATTTCAGACAGATATACCAGTCACTATGACAGTACCTTCTATAAAGATACATCAAATTGGATGAACTCATACCTTTCACTGAAGCTGCCTTGATGCCAGTGAAGAGTTATTGATCCAGCTACATTCCCTTTATTTGGATTGAATCTGGTTGCCTCCCATTACCCCAGTGTTATAAGAACTCTATGGGTTTAACACTCTATCCATAAAATGAAATAATAATAATAATAATAATAATACTGAACTTACTTACACTCATTTAAGACAACCAAGCATTTCTCTCCTGGGTTATCTTGAAATGCAGACTCCTTTTCATGTTCCCTCTCTTTTCTCTTCAATGATTTAGCCACTGTAATATTCGAAAACTATGAGAAATAAAATTTAACAAGAGTCTGAATAAATCTTAAAATTGCATTAATGGTAAAAAATTTAATTAGAGACAAAAATTCTTCGGGGTAAGACAGAAATTAGGACTGCAGAGGAGTAAGGAGGATTTATGAAGGGTAGTAGATGTGTATACTAAGTGTTTACATTGAAGCATATTAAGTGAACAATACCTAAACAGAATGGTCAGTTTTTGCATTTACAGATTTTGAAAAGGCATATTATAGGTTGGATAGGGGAGCAATGTAGCAGCTGTTTCAAATGTACGAATCAGTCGTAGGTTATTAAAAGTAGTCAATAGTCTTCATGCTGATAGCGAGGCTCAAGTTAAGAAATACAGTGAAGTAGGATTTAGACAGACATGCATGATGTCACCAATTTTTTTAACACACTAGTCATCTCCCACCAAGGTAGGCTGACCTGAAAAAGACAATGCTTTCACTATCATTCACTCTATCACCATCTTGCCAGAGGCGTGCAAACATTACAGCTCATATGCTGAATACATTCACTTCCTCCAAACTCTGTCCTTCCAATTTGATATGCAATCTTTCAACACCTAAATTTTTTGTTACTATCATCACCTTGCTCTTTCCTATGTTCACTTTTAATCTCCTTCTTTTAAATACTCTCCCAAATTCATCTACCAACCTCTGCAACTTCTTTTCAGAATCTCCCAGAAGTACTGTATAGTTGGCAAAAAGCAACTGTGACATAAATTCTTTAGCTTTTAATCCCACTCCTCTCCTTAACACTTTAGCATTCACTTTCACAACCCCATCTATAAATATGGTAAATAACCATGGTGACATTACGCATCCCTGTCAAAGGCCTACTTTTTTCTAGAAAATAATCCCCTTTCTCTCCTACATACCCTAACCTGAGTCTTACTATCCTCAAAAAACTCTTTAGTACTTTAAGTAACCTACCACCTATTCCATACACTAGCAACATTTGCCACATTGCTTCTCTATCCACCTTATCACATGCTCTTTTTAAATCCATAAATGCAACAAAAACTTCTTTACCTTCATCTATGTATTGTTTGCTTAAATGTTTTATGTAAACACTTGTGCATCTGCAATCCTGCTCCCTGTCTAACCCTTGATTTTTTTCTGTAATAACTCTACTATACATTTTACCTGGCTTTTGCCCCCAATAATTCTTAAACTCTCTTTTATCCCATTTTCCATTATGCAAAAAACTATGGATGCTCTCTGAGAATCACTATGTACCTTCTGCACTTTCATACATTTACTGAACAAATGTATCAACCACCTGAAAACTATATCCCCACCTGCTTTTAACATATATGTCTTGATCCACCTCTCCCAGCTGCATTAAACCCTTTCATTCACTTACTGCCTCATACACCATTACCACACTCACATCTGGATCTTCCTCACTCCTAAAAGACATTATACCTCCCTGCCCAATACATGAAATTGCTACCTCTCTCTCATTAATATTTAGAAAGTTTACCAACTGAAATAAGAGGAAAGTGTGTTGTTGTAAGGAGTTGGGTTAATTATTAAAGCTACTGATGACTGTATCAGTCTCTCATCTCTGGAATGGGGTTTCATGGCTAGATAACATATGACAGACATAAAAATTAAAATTGCTAGGGCTGAGCAGTAAATATCTAGTACGTATAGGTAAGTGCTTCACTGTTTCTGTGAAAACCAGTTTTAATGTTTATACTCACCCTTACAGAATATATTCATGAGGAGGGCCTTGTCAGCTTCTTCGAGAGCACTTCCAGATATAATGCCCTTAATATTTCGTGTAGGACATTCTTTAAAGTACAGGGTAGCAACTGTATAACCCCCTCCTCTTATTTTTGCACTCTGACAAGAAATGAATATCTACATAAATTTTTTTATATACTATATATCTATTGTACACTTTATTTTATGTCAATGACTGACTCCAACCAAGCTAGGGTGACTCAAAAAAGTAAACATTTTCACCATCATTCATTCAACTGCTGTCTTGTCAAAATAGTGTTGATATCACAATTTAGATTACTCTCCAATTGCAACATTCCCACCCTTCCTTCAGAGTGATTGCCCTTCCCACCTACAGAGCTGAAGTCTGGCTAAATAGTTTTCTTGACTCCATTCATAAGTGTGAGCAAGGGTTCACACTCCAACAGAGCATCCACTTAAAATCATTTGTCTCTTTTGCTCCTATTTAACACACACACACACAAGCCTGCTGGATGCTCAAGCCCTTAACACTCAAAACCTCTTTCAGTCCCTTCCTTCAACCCTTCCTGGAATAACTTACTCCTCCTACCTTCTGCTCCAACTTGACACACCCTTTTTGTCATCCTATTCCTTTCCCTCAATATATTCCCAAACTACCTTAATGACCCTCCTCAGCTCTGTGAATTATACCCACAATGACCACAATGACCTGGTCACAGACCGGGCCGCGGGGGCGTTGACCCCCGGAACTCTCTCCAGGTAAACTCCAGGTAAACAATGTCTTTTAATTTCTACACTCCAAACTCTGGGCATGATATTCACAGCACACACTGCTCTCAAACATGACATCACCACTGCCTCTAGCTGCCCTCTCATTGCAGCATTCAAAACTCATTCCTCACTTCCATGAAGGTGTTAATACCATTATACTGTGGTACATTACCTCTTTGCCTCCATAGATAAACCTTCTTTCCACAGATGTCTCAACACACTATCCTAGTTTTCCCCTCTCATTTATTCTATGGTCCACCTCATCTTTCATAAACCCATCTACTGACATGTTCACTCCCAAATATCTAAATATGTACATCCACTCCTTCCATACTCTCATCATTCAATCTTATATTCTATCTATCACTACCTAGACCTTTTGTTACTCTCTTCTAGATATCAGTATGTAGCTTTATGAATTAACATAATTAGTGGCTTTCTTCTGAGCTTTATTGTATACTACCTAGACCTTTTGTTACCTTCTTCTAGATATCAGTATGTAGCTTTATGAATTATCATAATTAGTGGCTTTCTTCTGAGTCTTACTGTATTAAATTATATATGTATTATAATAAAAGCAAACTCAAAATACTGAATAATCAGTTTGTATAACTACTGAATGGCTCATAAGAAATAAAAATGAAACTTTAATACGTATAGTGGAACCTCAGTTCTCGACTGTATTACTTGTCGAACAAATCGGTTTTTGAACGAGGAATTCGAGAAAAAATGTCCTGGTTTTTGTGCAGTCTCTTGGTTGTCGACCAACAATGTGAACGGCTCGGGCCACGTGCTCAAAGAATGCACACTGGTTAATGAGTCGACAGCGTGGGGGAATTGAAACTGAAGCTCTTACTTGTTTATCATTCCAAAAATTTATGAGTTTTTAAGAGCAATGTTATGAAAAACCAATTTTCTGTAATGTGGAGGGCCAACACAAAAGCTTGGGAACAAGACAATTTTTTATTGAATGGGTTCATGAGGGCTTTGCTCCCACTGTTAAAAAGTATCTCATTAAAAAACAATTGCCACTCAGGGGCCCTTTTACTTATGGATAATGCTCCTGCCCACTCTCCAAGCTTGGAAAACAAGTTGCTGGAGGAGTTCAGTTTTATAAATGTGAGGGTCTTGCCTCATCCAGCCCATGGACCAGCAGGTCATTTCTAACTTCAAGAAACTCTACACCAAAGCACTGTTGAAAGGTGCTTTGAAGTTACTTTAGAAACAAATTTAACCCTTAAGGAGTTCTGGAAGGACCATTTCAATATCCTCACCTGCTTGAGGCTTATAGACAAAGCGTGGGGAAAAGTGTCTTCCAGGACCATGCAGTCAGCATGGAAGAAATTGTGGCCTGACTTTGTGGTAGCCAGGGATTTTGATGACTTTGAAGATGAACCTGAGCCAGTAGAGGATACTGTGTCACTGGGGAAGACCCTGGGCCTAGAGGTGACTGAAGATGACGAGGAGGAGGTAGAGGAGCACAGAACTGAACTCACCACAGAACTTGTAGGCCTTCAGAAAGAGCAGCAATAGATAGCAGCGGAGGAGCTGTGCAGGAGTTTGCTGAAAAATACCATCCAGACAAAGCAGTGGCTATCTGTTTCTCTAATATGTACAATGACAGTGTAATGTCTCAATTTAAACAAATGTTAAAACAGAGCCTGAAACAAACCCTCACTGTACAAGTTTTTAGTAAGACGAAGGATCAGTGAGCCAGAGTAGTGTTGGTTGTGAAAAGAGACAAAGAAAAGAAACAACACCAGGACAGTTGCCTGACATACTAACCCTTTGGGGGTTTCGGCCGTACTAGTACGGCTTACGACCCAGGGTTTTTGACGTACTAGTACGCCTAAATTCTAGCGCCCTCAAATCTAGTGGGAGAAAGCTGGTAGGCATACATATGAAAGAATGGGTCTATGTGGTCAGTGTGTGCAGTATAAAAAAAATCCTGCAGCACACAGTGCAAAATGAGAGAAAAAAAACTTTGACCATGTTTTTGGAATAAAACAACGACTTTGCATTGTATTTTCGTGTGGTATTTATTGTTGTATTCTAGTTTTCTTGGTCTCATTTTAGAGAATGGAAGACATATTACAGAAATTGAGATGAATTTGACTGGTTTTAAAATGAAAAGTGCCTTGAAATTGAGCTCAAAGTAGCAGAAATGTTTGATTTTTACCAAAGTTCAATAGTAAACAAAATCATGCCAAGCATCCAATACACATAAAACTGGTGAGTCTAATATTCTTTCACAAGTGCCTGATATTATTTATACATTTTTACACTTTGCAGCAGTCTGCATAACAGTAAATCTTCTATTTTTTGTAAGAATAAAAATTGAAAGTGGAAAGCCAAAGAAATATAAGAGGGGCCTGGGGATGTGACTAATGAACAGAGGAAATGTTATTTTAGTGCTAGGAATGTCTTTCTTGTTTATTCTGGACCCTATTTGGAAATTGGCATATTTTGAAATTTGTGTGAAATTGGCAAATTGCTAAATTCTGACCACTGTATTGGATAGTTTAAATCAGTAAATGGGTGGTTTCTTGTACTCATTCAATAGAAAAAATGGAGTTCTAGAGAAATAGTTATGATTTTTCTCGACTAGTACACTGGAATTGGCCGTAAATATGCTCAAAGTGGACAAAATCGCCGATGCATAAACATCGTCAAGACCGCTAACTTCGCAAGAGCATAATTCCGTAAGTTTTCCATCAAATTTCATACTTTTGGTGTCATTATGATCGGGAAAAGATTCTCTATCTTTTCATAAGAAAAAATCATTTTTTTTTTTAAATTTGGCCGACCCTGAGAACAAGTCTTGGAGAGGGCCTGTCAACCCTCAAAGGGTTAATAGGTGACTCTCCTTCCAAGCAGTAACATACCCCCTCCTCTCCTCCACCTCCTGCTTCCAGTATGCCATTTGCTCTCCTCTGACAAGTAAGAGGCAGTTAAATTTTCATTTATTGTACAGTATTTCAGTTAAAGTTTCCTTTAGTATTTATTTTTACAGTTTTATGTAGTAGTTAGTACATTTTTAATAAATTATTATATTGTCATTTGGGGTTTGGAACAGATTAATTCTGTTTACATTATTCTTTATGGGAAAAACTGCTTTGGTTGTCATCCATTTTGCTTGTCAAATTGACATCTGAAATTAATTAAATTCAACAACTGAGGTTCCACTGTAATAATAATAATAATACAGGTCAGCCATCACTAATCCGGCATCATTGGGACCTGTAGTGTGCTGGATTAGTGAGTTTGTCAGATTACAGAGTGGTTAGGTTAGAATACACTTAATTAACCCATTAATAAAGACTCTCTCTCTGCTACATCTTCCTCATTTTCATCACTGCTTTCTCGTCCACTGGCTTGCTGCTGTGGATTTACAGCCATCTGCACAATTTCTGAGTCAGTATAATGATGAAATTTGAGTCAGTATATTGATGAAATTTGAAATAATGCTAGCCAAAAATTAGTGACGGATTACTGATGGAACTGGATGACTGACTGCCGGATCAGTGATGGCCGACCTGTAATAATAGTGGGTGAGATGTTATCAACAAATTTGTTGAAAATAAGAAAAAGTTTTGGAGTGAGATTAACAAGTTAAGGAAGCCTAGAGAACAAATGGATTTGTCAGTTAAAAATAGGAGAGGAGAGTTATTAAATGGAGAGTTAGAGGTATTGGGAAGATGGAGGGAATATTCTGAGGAATTGTTAAATGTTGATGAAGATAGGGAAGCTGTGATTTCGTGTATAGGGCAAGGAGGAATAACATCTTGTAGGAGTGAGGAAGAGCCAGTTCTGAGTGTGGGGGAAGTTCGTGAGGCAGTAGGTAAAATAAAAGGGGGTAAGGCAGCCGGGATTGATGGGATAAAGATAGAAATGTTTAAAAGCAGTGGGGATATAGTTTTGGAGTGGTTGGTGCAATTATTTAATAAATGTATGGAAGAGGGTAAGGTACCTAGGGATTGGCAGAGAGCATGCATAGTTCCTTTGTATAAAGGCAAAGGGGACAAAAGAGAGTGCAAAAATTATAGGGGGATAAATCTGTTGAGTATACCTGGTAAAGTGTATGGTAGAGTTATTATTGAAAGAATTAAGAGTAAGACGGAGAATAGGATAGCAGGAGGCTTTAGGAAAGGTAGGGGTGTGTGGACCAGGTGTTTACAGTGAAACAAATAAGTGAACAGTATTTAGATAAGGCTAACTTCCCTACTCTGTTTTTAACTGACAAATCCATACTTTCCCTAGGCTTTCTTATATAAAGGGAAAGGGGACAAAAGAGACTGTACAAATTATAGAGGAATAAGTTTACTGAGTATACCAGAAAAAGTGTATGGTAGGGTTATAATTGAAAGAATTAGAGGTAAGACAGAATGTAGAATTGCGGATGAGAAAGGAGGCTTCAGAGTGGGTAGGGGATGTGTAGATCAAGTGTTTACATTGAAGCATATATGTGAACAGTATTTAGATAAAGGTAGGGAAGTTTTTATTGCATTTATGGATTTAGAAAAGGCATATGATAGAGTGGATAGGGGAGCAATGTGGCAGATGTTGCAAGTATATGGAATAGGTGGCAAGTTATTAAATGCTGTAAAGAGTTTTTATGAGGATAGTGAGGCTCAGGTTAGGGTGTGTAGAAGAGGGGAAAATATTCCCGGTTTAAAAATAGGTCTTAGACAGGGATGTGTAATGTCACCATGGTTTGTTTAATATATTTTTTAGATGGGGTTGTAAAAGAAGTAAATGCTAGGGTGTTCGGGAGAGGGGTGGGTTTAAATTATGGGAATCAAATACAAAATGGGAATTGAACAATTACTTTTTGCTGATGATACTGTGCTTATGGGAGATTCTAGAGAAAAATTGCAAAGGTTAGTGGATGAGTTTGGGAATGTGTGTAAAGGTAGAAAGTTGAAAGTGAACTAGAAAAGATAAGGTGATGAGGGGATCAAATGACTTAGATAAAGAAAAATTGGATTCAAATTGGGGAGGAGGAAGATGGAAGAAGTGAAATTTTTCAGATACATGTACTGTGGAGTTGACGTGGCGGCGGAATGGATTTATGAAGGATGAGGTTAATCATTTGAAATTTATGAGGGAAAAAAGGGGACTGGTGCATTGAGGTATATGTGGAGTCAAAAACGTTATCTATCGAGGGAAAGAAGGGAATGTATGAAAGATAGTAGTACCAACATCTTATATGGATGTGAAGCTTTGGGGGGTAAAATGCAGCAGCGAGGAGACGGTTGGAGGCAGTGGAGATGTCCTGTCCCAAGGGCAATGTGTGGTGTAAATATTATGCAGAAAATTCGGAGTGTGGGGAAAATTTGGAGAAGGTGTGGAGTTAAATAAAATCATTAGTCCAGAGGGAGTAGAGGGGTTGTTGAGGTGGTTTGGTCATTTAGAGAGAATTGGATCAAAGTAGGGAAAGACATGGGGGAAAACATATAAATCTATAGGGGAAGAAGGAGGGGTAGGGGTCGTCCTCGAAATGGTTGGAAAGGGGGGTTTAAAGGAGGTTTTGTGGGCGAGGGACCCTTTGGGCTTCCAGCAAGCGTGCATGAGCGTGTTAGATAGGAGTGAATGGGGACGAATGATACTTGGGGCCTGACGATCTGTTGGAGTGTGACCAGGGTAATATTTAGTGAAGGGATTCAGGGAAACCGGTTATTTTCATATAGTCGGACTTGAGTCTTGGAAATGGGAAGTACAATGCCTGCACTTTAACGGAGGGGTTTGGGATATTGGCAGTTTGGAGGGATATGTTGTGTGTCTTTATACGTATATGCTTCTAAACTGTTGTATTCTGAGCACCTCTGCAAAAACAGTGATAATGTGTGAGTGTGGTGAAAGTGTTGAATGATGATGAAAGTATTTTCTTTTTAGGGATTTTCCTTCTTTTTTGGGTCACCCTGCCTTGGTGGGAGACGGCCGACTTGTTGAAAAAAAAAAAAAATATATATATATATATATTGTTAAATGTTGATGAAGATAAAAGAAAGAAAGCCAAGGGAAAGTATGGATTTGTCAGTTAAAAACAGAGTAGGGGAGTTAGTAGATGGGGAGAGGGAGGTAATAGGTAGATGGCGAGAATATTTTGAGAAACTTTTAAATGTTGAGGAAGAAAGGGAGGTGGTAATTTCATGCACTGGTCAGAGAGGTATACCATCTTTTAGGAGTGAAGAAGAGCAGAATGTAAGTGTGGGGGAGGTACGTGAGGCATTACGTAGAATGAAAGGGGGTAAAGCAGCTGGAACTGATGGGATCATGACAGAAATGTTAAAAGCAGGGGGGGATATAGTGTTGGAGTGGTTGGTACTTTTGTTTAATAAAAGTATGAAAGAGGGGAAGGTACCTAGGGATTGGCGGAGAGCATGTATAGTCCCTTTATATAAAGGGAAAGGGGACAAAAGAGACTATACAAATTATAGAGGAATAAGTTTATTGAGTATACCAGGAAAAGTGTATGGTAGGGTTATAATTGAAAGAATTAGAGGTAAGACAGAATGTAGGATTGCGGATGAGAAAGGAGGTTTCAGAGTTGGTAGGGGATG